GAGCATAAGGCATTTCCAAGAACTACTGCTGCTTTGAAAAGCCTCTGTTAAGTCCCAAGGCTCTGCCAGCAGGATGCATTTGTCAGCCCTCTTTTGGCAAAATACACACACCCCCGCACCATCAGTTTTATGTTGCTTCTGATTGGCATATTTTTTCACTATCTAGGCCAAAGGCAACATCAGTCATCCTTCTGCTAGCAATTAGCCATCTGAATTCAGGTCTGAATTTCCCTCCAATAACTTTCCAGGTCATAACATATGAAGAGTAAAATTCCTAGAAGTAACATGCAGGTAGCTGAAAGTGCACTTGAAGTCAGCCCACAGACCAGCAGTGATATGCTCTGTGACAACTTCAGTCAGCAAAGCCAAAGGGCAGCTAGAAACTCAGACTTTCTGGAGTGTTCTTCATTGATTCTTTCAACAAAAAATGCATTGAGACACCACAGGCACTGCTCTGGGTGATGTGAATACAGTAGAGAACAAAACAGTCATTGAAACCTTGGGAAAGTTAAATCTGTTAGAGGAGACTTGCAAATCACAAATAAGCAGGTGAGGAGCGAGGGAATGCTTTCTGTCGTTTCTCACAGCACCCAAATGACTTCCTGTGAGTAGAGGACTTATATATCTGAAGTCAGAGCAAGGATTGGCTGAGAGCATCCAGAAAACAGCCTTGTTAAGGGTTCTGAGCCTCCAACAATACTGACACCTTGGATCCAACATGCATCATGACCACACTGATAGTGATTGCAATCTTTATTAATTTATTTGCTTTATTTATTCTCTTTTTAAGTTTTGTTGCACATTCCTTTCTTGGAAAAAATGGTGTTGCTCCCACTTACACTAGTGAAAATAGCAGAAAATGGAAATGTCAATTCTATAAAATAGATCATTTTTCCCTCAACTAGCACATCTCCTGTCAAGCCTATTGGACTGTTATTACTGACCAACCTCAGAGCATACACATGGTACTACACACATCTCCAAATAGGGAATCCTGGGCCATCTTCATACAGATTATTGTCTTGAACAGATATTTCCTTTTCCTCCACCTGGCCTCTCCCCATGTGGTCAATTTAGAGTTGTTCAAAGACACTACTGTTTTCCCTCTGAGATGGTATCTTGAGGTTTGAACCTGAAGGTAAAGTAAGTGGCAGTTTCAAGTTCCTGTGATGTGGTCTGTTTAGCATGGGGTTGGGGTGATGCCTCTTTTAGGACCTTCCTACTTCCACTCTTTTCTCTACTTCACATATCATCTATTTGTCCACCACCAGTCAGACCCAAGTGGAGCCCTTTCTTCCTGCTGTTCTCTTTCCCTTTTGTCCTTTATCTCTTCATATTCTTCAGGGTCTTCTTTCTGGCTTCCAGGTTGGAATTGCTGTCTTCACTTCTCTCTGAATTCTGTGGGCTCTGCCTATTATAATCCTGTGCTGGCTTTTCCTATGGTTTTGGATACTTGGGATCTTAGTTTTATGAGTACAGTCTATCTCCCTGCCAGCTTTTTTTGGGGGCTCCCCTGTGTCTGTCTAGAGAACTCAGCCTCAGGCCCTTCACTTTCATGAATTCTTTCATGTAACACAACATTAAAGGCACTTTGTACATGCTAGGTTCTAGACTAGAAGGTGGGATACATCACCCAGTCCCTCCCCAAGGTACCTCTGGATAGGGAGAAGGTCTGGCCTGAATCTAACCCAGATACCTGCAAAAAAAAAAGCTTGCAGGTGTCTGGCAACAAAGGCAGAGGATAACCTCCTCTGGCTGGGGGAGGTACCAGGCTCTCCAGGCAGAGAAATGGAAAGAGGAATTTTCTGGTAGAGGGATTAACATTCATAAATCTGAGGAAGAATCAAAGAGCATGAAGTGTTTTTGGAGTTTGGTGGAATTTGGTGTCACTGATTATGCAGTGAAAACAGAAATAATGTGGGAGATGAGACTAAAAAGGTCATTTGGAATCCAAATACCAAGAGGAAGAAAATTAATATATTATTTCCTTTAATCCTTACAATAGTACCTTCCAGATTTGACTATCTCTACTTTGCATGTCAGGAACTTGAAGCTTGGTGAGATTGAGTGACAGTGGTAGATAGCTGGTTAAGAACAGTGGTTGACAGGCTGGAGATGTAGCTTAGGGATAATGCTTGCCTAGCCAGACAGAGAGAGACAGAGAGGGGAGGGGAGCAAGGATGGAAGGGAGGAAGGAAGGAAAGGGGAAGGAAGGAAGAAAACAGTGTTATTTGGGCTCTTTCAAGTATGGAGAGGGCCTGGGGACCAAAAGACTAAGACGAGGGGAAAACGGAGAAGGAGAAAAATGGAGTCATAGGACTTGCTAACTGACTGGATGATGTCAAGAAACCTTTAAATGGTTTCTCTTAACCAAGGGACAAATCAGATCCCCTCAGCCAGCTTCCAGAGATCTCTGCTCTTGTTTGAAATCCCCTCAGCCAGCTTTCAGGGCTCTCTGGTTCTTATTTACTGCTTTCAATTAATCTTCTTCATTGCTTCAATCTCTGTGCACCTCAACAATGCCACATTCAAGGCACAGACACAAGTAGCTGGGTGTACATCTCCACCCACCCACCCACCCCCCCCCCCGCCCTGCCTTGTCCCTCCTAGGTACAGTCACCATTTTCCTTTTTGTCTCAGTTCTCACCACAAATTCTGCCAAGTTGTCATCCTTCATTTTAACTCAGTATTCTTGCTGACCCATGGATGCAGAATCTCTTCTGGCCTTACTAGCATCTGTGAGACTTTTTTTTTCAGTGGTGGGAACCAAACCCGACCTCTCACATGTTAGGCAACTGCTATATCACCGACTAAGATACATCCCCAGTACCCATAATTCCTCTTGGCTGGAGGCCAACTACTCACTCATAACAGAAACCCCTATCTTTCCAATTTCCCTCCACAGGATAGCTGACAAATTGACACAGAAGCTAAAGCAGTGTGCAGTCCCAGGCCTGAGGGACCAGAAAGCTGGTATCCCCTTCTAATGCCGTAAAAAGAATTTCTAGGGTTCCTGGAGGTCCAGAAACTTCAAACTCATGCTAGAGCTTATCTCAGCATATGTAAATTGTTGGTCTTCGTGTCTTTCTTTACCCAAGCTGACAGCTCTTTGAGTCCAATCACAATATCTGACTGTGGCCCTGGCAATGCACAATGAATACTTCTCAAATAGAAGAGTGACGGACTCCCAGTGTTCCATGCATGTGCTGAATGTCCTCTATAGCTGAGTGTCCCAGGAAAACACTTCCCACAACTCCACAACTGCCCAGGTCTCCCACAAATAATCCAGTTATCAAAATGTGGAAGATTCTCCCACTTTGGTCCATTTCTTCTTGCAGACCTTAAGCACTTATGTAAAGCCCGTTTATTTCTGTGGCCACCAGGGGGCTCTTCTCAACATACAGGATTTCCAAGAGCAACCTCACAAGGGCTTCCCAGCTGTATAGCTAGGAATTAGAAGCAGGTTTTATTAATATTTTGTTAATATTGAATCTGAGGCAATGTGCCCATTTCTTAGAGGATAAAGTTGGTCATGGTGCCTTTAAAGGGTCCCCTATCCCAGGGCTGGGGTTGTAGCTTAGTAGAGCGCTTGCCTAAGACATGTGAGGCACTGGGTTCAATCCTCAGCACCACATGAAAATAAATAAATAGAGGTTTAAAAAAAAAAGGTCACCCTTCTGCTTCTAAAATTTTATTAGGAAAATACTATTTTTTTCTAGAGTAGGGTCAGAAAAAAAATCAGCTTGATATTATGATAATCTACTTCCTACAGGATTATTAAGGAGGAAAAGGTCCCTCCCTGGGTTAGTACAGCATGAAGACTCTCAGCCCACCTTCTCCTCTGGGCTTTAGCCCTGCCTAGTTGTAGTACTCTGCTCCAGCCTCATCCACCCCTGGTCACTGACTCCTTTAAGCCAAGCTGCTCTAGATTTGGGAGGCCTCTTGGGCAAGCCTCAAAGCCTTTGACCTCAACTATCTCATCAGTAAAACTACATCTGTCTCACAGAGTTGTATCAGGGTAAATGAGCAAATGTGTGAGAGAGTGACTTGAAAAATGAGAAACCCTGTGACATTACACCTTGGCCTCATTACTTAGTTCACCTCCCAGAATTAGGATAAACACCATGACCAAATCACAAAGAGAACAGATTGGAAAGGTTTTTCAACTATCAAAGAAAAATTATAGCAAAAAAATCAAATTTAAAATGTTTAAATATAAATTAACTCCCTAGATTTTGCAACATACAACATAAAATTATAAGACCAAAAAATTGTTTCAAGAATGAGAAGAGATAGATTTTCTGTCGCACTGTGTGATGCCCCACTCTGCCTTGAGATTCTTCAGAATCCCACCAAGAAGAAGCCTCTCACCAGATAGCCTCACAATCTTGAACTTCCCAGCTTTCAGAACTATGAGCCAAATAAACCTTTTTATTTATTTATTTATTTAGGTAACAGGTATTAACCCAGGGTGCTTAACCACTGAGCCACATCCCTAGCCTTTTTTTATTTTTTATTTTGAGATAAGGTCTCACTAAGCTGCTGAAGCTGGCCTTGAACTTTGCAATCCTCCTGCCTCAGCCTCCTGAGCCAGGAGCCTGGGATTATAGGCATACACCACCACTCCTGGCTAAACTTTTACTTATAAATTTTAAAAAAGAATCAGAGAGGGCTAGGGGTATAACTCAGTGACAGAGTGCTTGCTTAGCATGTGTGAGGCATTGGGTTCTATCCTTAGCACTACATAAAAATAAACAAACAAAATAAAGGCATTCTGTCCATTTACAACACTTTAAAAAGAGAGATACAGTCATTGGGATTTTGAATATTAGTATTTCATCTTATAGTCCTAAATTTTTACTTTTTTATGATTGAGTTGATTTATTTAAAAATACTTTACCAAAGTGAGTCACATACTGTTTTTCCTGGTATTCATTCTAAAACTGATAGATAGTTACCAGGTTCATATTTTCAAGGCAGCAATATTCTTTATCTCATAGACTCTAGATAATCTGAAGGAAGGGAAACACCACCTCCGTGTGCGGCCTGCAGATATACCTGTTGCTGAGAGAGCATCTTTGAACTACTGGAGAACCTGGAAGTGTATCAGCAAACCTTCAGAATTTCCAATAAAAAGCCCAGCCTTCACAGGTACAATCATAGATAGGCTGGCCCCTCTGAAGACCACACCAGCTTCCCCTCACCTCACCTTAACAGAAGGGACTGCCATCCAGAGAATAGTTCCATAGTCCCAATAGTCCCATCTCTTTGAGTTCATTCTGGATGATTTCTCTACCTCTTGGTCATCTCTTTTGACCTAGTACTCTATCACATGCCCTCTCCATGGCTGCTTGCTCACTGCTGCTCAGCATCCTCCTGCATGCTGTTTCCTCTACACACTGGTTTCACTTAGGCAAAGCTAGGATGCATTCCACTCCCACTCAGAAGTCAGGAACTTCACCATCCTTTCAAGTTACCTCCAGCCACCAAAGAATGTCTCCAAGTGATCTCTGTCTGATGAGTGCCTTGCAGCATAGGTCAGCCAATCTGGGATACCAGAACAAGGCATTCATGATTATTGATGGGTTTTTAAACTTCCAGGAGAGTCAAAATCATGTTTTATCTGTAAGTCACAGTGGTTGGTTTGGTCCATTAAAAAGAACTAAATATACAAATAAATTTAGTGACTTTGGGTACATAAGCTAAAATGTTACAATGTATCCCACTGTCCTTCAATGTGTATAGAAAAAACAGATTTCCATGTTCTAGTCCCCACCTCACTCCTTCTGAACCTTAGGGCTATATCTGAAAAGAGAGAGGGAAAGGAGGTGTGTGGCAGGCACTCTCCTGGGTAGTCTTTCCAGCTTCTTCTGGGAACCCTGGATAATGAGAGTCCTGGTCTCAGGTGATGCCTCCTGTGTGTTCTCCTCCAGGCCTACATGACAAGGCACCTTTGGGGCTCATGGACACACCACTTTTAGACACAGAAGAGGAAGTGCACTACTGCTTCCTGCCCTTAGACCTGGTGGCCAAGTATCCAAGCCTAGTGACTGAAGACAACCTGCTGTGGCTGGCTGAGACTGTGGTCCTGATCGAGTGCGAGTGCAGCGAGTTCCGCTTCATTGGTGATTGCTCTGTCCATGGGTGGAGCAGGCTGATGGGGCCACCCACCATTCCCCACCTCACATCCCATACTCCTCAGAGGCCCAGTGTGGTGCATAGAGCCTCAGAGTTTCCTTGGGCAGAGGTGCAAAAGGACCACAGTCTTTCTGGAGGCAAGCACATTGCAGCACAGACTCTCACTTGGATCAGAGTTATTTTAGTTCCTATTTCTTTGGGGATGGCCTGACTGTAAAGAGGCCCTGAAGCTCCCTGAGGTGATGTCAGAGGCCTCAGAAGTCAGTGTAAAGGTCAGAGTGTTCAGCTGAACTCTTTCTCTGCCCTAATATCTCCAACTGGGTTCCAGGCCTAAGTGCCTCTTACCATAGAATGAGGAAATAGAATTGTTTCAAGGGATGTTCCTACCTGCTCAGAATACAAGGGAAGAAGGGTGAATGGTGACAGTTTCCCCAGAATCATGCAGAATGGTCAGTGTGAGCTTGTGACCTAAGGAGGGATGAGATCTCCAACCTTGCATGGGAAAGAGCTCCCTCTCCCCACTGCCTCAGGACCAGCTCTGCTAGGGATAGCTAGCAGAATCAGGGAATAGCTCCCTGATTCCAAGCTGCAGTCAGCAGCTTCTACTGCCCAGAGAAGGCAGTAAACACTCAAGTTGATGCAAGGGCTCAAATGTCTGGAACCACAGCCATTCAGATTCAAGTCACTAGGAAGTTGTCTGTGATATGCTTCTGAATCTCCAGGTTAATTCACACAGGACATTAGAGATGGCTCTACCTCTGCCTCTCACACTGCAATCCAGGCAGGGACAAACTCCAAGTGCCACTTGCCAGCCCAGGCTTGGCCAGGCCCCTTCTCTCTAAGCAGCAAGACAACTCCCTCTTTTGGAATGACCGCTCTGGGGTCAAACTCACAGGATAAGTCTCAGAGTCAGTATGCTCACCATAAAGGCCTGGCTTGGGATTCCAACACAGGATTCCAAACACAGGAAAGCAAAGTAATTTGGGGTCTTTCTCCTTGAAAGCCACTGAATCAAAGCTAATCAGGTATGTTTAGAAATTGTTCCAGAAGGAGGAGAACCTAGGATAAGTTGAAAAACCAAAAACCTGCCAGAACCTGTACCTCCAGTGAAATCAGAAGTAGCCTTGTTAACTCATGTTGTTTCCCTTTGTTTTTCAAGTGAATTTTCTCCGTTCACACAAGATTTTGCTACCAGATAATTTCTCCAACATAGATGTGTTAGAAGCTGAAGTGGAAATTCTAGAAATTCCTGAGCTCACGGAAGCTGTACGGTTGTACCGGATGAACATGGGTATGTCACCTGGGAACCCTCACCTTCCCTTGACATTCTGGGTCTGGGTGGACTTGAACTAGAGAAGCCAAGAACGTTTTCCCTCCCATTACCATTGTGGGCTTTGGGGTGGTGGTGAGTGAAGTGGATGCTCTAACTTAGAATCCAAGAACAGGAATTTTGCCTGAAATCCTGCCTGCCCTGTCTGCTCAGTGTCCCACTGATGGAGTTAGGGGGCAACTACCAGGGCCAAAGGAATCCTTACCCAGCATGGAGCAGGAAGAACCCAGACTGGATGAAGGAACCAGGCTGGAATGTCCTGGGGAGAGAGAAGGGCCTAAGGCAAGCTTCTAGCAGCAGGAGCTACCTATCCTGTTTACTGCCCAGAGAAGGCAGTAAACACTCAAGTTGATACAAGGGCTTCAAATGTGGAAATCCTAGGCAACTGAAACTTGTGACATCCATCTCCTACTCCCCACTTTCTCTTCCAGGCACAGCTGGAGAGCATGGGAAACACTTGGGCAAACTTCCCACCAATGCCTCAGTCATCCCACTAGACCCCAAATTCCCTTCTCCCTATTTCTCACAACTATTGGCTGCTATGCCTGTTTCTGTCTATTCCTGGTATTTCCTGTCTTCTGTTCAGGCCAGAATGAAGCTCCTAGCCCTGCTTCATTCCAGCTGCTCCTCATCTCATGGTTTTGATTTGCTTTTCATCATCCCATTTCCCAATTCCTGTTCATCCATGGAAACTACTGTGCATGTTTTAGAAGCTAGCTACCTCTGGAGACCTCAGCTGGCCTTCTGAGAATATGTAAAACCTTCTCAAATAACAAAGCTGAAAAAAAAATGACTGACTTGCACATATGCAGTTTGGTCTGGCCATCATCAGGCATTTGTTCCATGGGAATGAGGCCATTCCCTGTCTTCAGGTCCAGCCTCTTTCCAGGCAAATGGAGTCCCATCCTATGCTGCATTCTGCAGCAGGTCTCAGGAGCCTGTACCAGGGCCCTACAACCCTCTTGAGAGTATGAGTTCAGCCCCCTCCCTCAAGAACTTCTGATCCTCAGAGAACTTGGATCACTATGAGTTGGGCAAAGTAGTACCTGCTCCACACAAGAAATGTAAAGATGGATTTGTGTTTGTAGACAGGCTCTCCTCCAATATAAAGCACAGGGTTAGCCTTTAATAAAGCATCCTAAAAGGGAGACAACTCTAGTAGCCCTAAAGAGGGACAGCTGACATCAAAACCCCAGTCCTAGGGTTGTGGCTCAGTGGTAAAGCATTTGCCTAGCACATGTGAGGCACTGGGTTTGAGCCTCAGCACCACTTAAATAATACGTAAAGTTATTGTGTCCATTTATAACTAAAAATGTTTTTAAAAACCCAGCCCTGCCTTGCCTAGCTCTGCAGTTACTTGTACTGAGTACCTTGCCCTAAACTGAAAAACTGGGCAAGGGGAGGGTACTTAGTTAACCCCTCAGGGCACAATATATCTGTGAAAAGATGATAGCACTAAATCTCTCACAGGGTTGATCTGAGGATTGGAGATAATACATGAAAATTCCCTGGCAGGTTGCTCATTGTCCCACTATTGCAGGCTTTTATAGGCTATGACAACTATGTTCTGTGGATTATACCTTGTGTGCTGGCTGCAGAAGAACAAGATCCCACCCATGAGCCACCCAAATACCTAAAAGTAGCTCTACATAGTATGTCTCTGAGGAAAATTCTGCCCAGGAGACCCAAGGAGACAGTAGGGACTGTGTGAATCCTAGAGGCCTGTGTCTCTCATTTGGCTCTGATATTTCTTCCCTTGAATAGTTAGAAAAGTTTGGAACTAATGGAGCTTCCTGCAGAGGCTGAGGCCAAATGCTCTAACTGAGATTTCTGAAATTCAGATGTTAATGATAGAGCAAATAAATCCCCACCCTGCCTTACCAACCAATAAATATATTTTTTTAAATATTTGTTTTTTAGTTGTACTTGGACACAATACCTTTGTTTTATTTATTTATTTTTATGTGGTGCCGAGGATTGAACCCAGGGCCTTGCACTTGCTAGGTGAGTGCTCTACTGCAGAGACACAACCCCAGCCCCCAACAAATAATTTTGACCTCTAAACCTGAGTGTACAAAAAATTATACTAAAGTTGAAAAAATCCACATTTGGTCTATGCAAGGATATGTCCTCCTTCTAAGCCACTTAAGTATTACTTGGGGGCAGCTAGAGGAATTAAGACCCATAGCCTCCAATTCACCTATGCCTAAGAAGGATCTAGTAGTCACACCTTTATCCCTGGCACAGGTGGCTGTTCCCGGACCTCCTGTCCTCCCCCAAGCCCTGGAAAGGGGGTACGTGCAGCCGGTCTGGAGTCTGTGAAGCCACTGTACATGATGGCCCTTGGTCTGCTGGTCAAGTACCCAGACTCTGCGCTAGGACAGCTCCGCATTGAGAGCACGCTGGATGGAAGCAGACTGTATATCACAGGGAACGGAGTCCTCTTCCAGCATGTCAAGTAAGGCCTTCCTTGGGGAGCTGCTCAATCCCATCAGGTTGGGTTTTGCCCTTCTCTTGGAATAGCCTGAGGCCTTCCCTCAGAAACCAGGGGGAGAGTGTGTCCTCAGGGTCAACCTATCATTTTACTCTCCACCACCGCTACTGGGTTAGAGCCTCTGAGGAGATGGCTGGAGACAAGGTAAAAGGGTCCCCAGAGCTCAAGGGCTTTAAGCTATTCATATTTCTTTTCTCTACCATCCATTTCCTTGTGCTGGGTCTGAGGTAATCTGGCCACAGTCATACCTTCAGAGTAGTTGGGCACCCCACCCAAAAATACCCTTATGCAAGGTTCTCTGTATCCTTGGGAGGCTCACTAGACACATAGAGAGGCCTGAGCCTAGAGTGAGCTTCTAAGAAGCAAGGCAGGGCAGATTTCCCCAAGGTGGTGGTGATACAAGGCCCTTGCCTTGATGGATGAGCTCAGAATATCCCTGTAAGTCTGGGGCATGGATTCCAATCCTGCATTATGGAAAGGCAAACTGAAGTTAGGAACAGTGGAGCAACTCTGTTAGGGTGGCAAAATCCATAGTACCAAAACTAAAGGTAGGAGTGGGTTTCCCTAAGTGCCTGGGGAGAGCATCAGCTGACTCACAACACTGTCTTACCCCCAATCCTATGGGTTGAAACTCTTTTGGCCCATTTACCATCTGTCCCAGACATGTCCACTCCTAATGTCACAGAAGGTAAAAACAAGTGCTTTTGCAAGGATAGGGGAAATGGGGGTTGATGTCAGCCTCTTTTATGGACACACAGGGTGTTAGAAATTTCTCTGCTACACCTTGACTGAGACACCTTAGGCAGATAGTTATGGGGGCAGGAAGCAAGTGATTGGACCCTGGCCTGACTTCTGAACCTGAGAGAGGGCCTGGAGACTTGAAATGAGTCAATTTAGCAGGATTTGCTGAAACAGGTTAAGCTCAGTTCTAAAAAGTTGTGTCCAGGCTTACTTTCTTTGAAGATACCACCAGATATCCAGTTAAACAAAGGAAATAATGCTAGTGGTGCCAGGTTTGAGCCAGTGTTGGTGCATGTATTCTAGGCAAGGAAAGTTTATAGACTACATTCTTGTGGGGCACAGTGCTGAGGCTCTTCATGACAGGCTTTCCTCTGGGCAGGAACTGGCTGGGGACTTGCCGGCTTCCCCTGACTGAGACCATTTCCGAAGTGTATGAACTCTGTGCCTTCCTGGACAAGAGGGACATCACCTATGAGCCAATGAAAGTGGCTCTGAAGACTCATCTGGAACCAAGGAGTTTGCCACCCATGGATGTGCTTAGTAAATGAGGAGTTACTGGGTTTGAATTTAACATGGGGGTGGTGGGATATCTAGGGGATCCTAGAAAGATAAGGAAAGAAAGATGATGCAGGCAAGGATCAGGAACTGTAGATGGAAGAGAAGGGGAAAATCAGACCAACATTTGTGGATTTTCTAAATGTAAACTTCATGTTAAGATCCCCATCCTCATGTCCAAGTCCACAGTTTGTCCCAGGAGTACAAACAGGGCTGCTACCCAGTCTGGGACTGCACGGCCCCAGGAACCAACATGATGTGCTCAGTTGTTTCTTATAATCAGGCAAAGAGGAATGGTTCCTGGGTCCATTTAACAGATGAAGCAGAGACTCAAGGGGAAACTTGCTCAAATTACATGACTGGGGTTTGAATCTGAGTCCAAAGTCAGTGAAGTGATGTTTAAACAGTTAATAACCTCTTGGTTTTTTAGGGTAGGTTTAAGCTATAGTGCTATCATTCAGCAATATTCAATATTTATTGAGCACCAACAATGTACCAGGACAGGGATACATACTGGAAGTAGAAAAGTGAGTCACAGAGACTCAGTCCATGTTTTCAGGTGTTCTTAGTTTAATTCTGTGCTTCCTGCCTCTTGGTCATATAATCTAGTTTTACACCCTGCACTCATCCCAATACTCATAAGAAAATGGTTCTCAAACATCAAAATAACACCTAAATATAGTCATTCCCCACCAAAAAGGGTCATGGATTCATCTTTCCAGCACAGAACCCTGTGACATACCTAGAGGCTTGGTCTCTAGAAAAGTGACAGTAATTTGTTGAAAGCTGGCTCCATGACATCTGCTAAATCTCAAGCAGAAACCTAGACTTCTAGCTCCAGTATGAATGAATGGCCACAAAAGTGGCCACACTATGACACAGCCAGCCAGAAACCCAAGGCAGGTGGCAATGTAGATGGAATCATCATCTGAGCTTTCTTGAGGGAGGTGGGTCAGGAGAAGGAACAGTGCCCTTGGGATTGGAATTCCAGAGGGCTTCCCACCCCAGAGTTGCCAACTGACCCTGAAAACTGTTGTTCTAAGCCACCTCACCTCCCTGGAAGCTGTGTGGTGAGGACCAGGAAACGCTGGTATGTCAGGATTGCTGCTGCTTCTCAGAATAGGCCACCTCTTATTAATGATGAATACAGGGAGCCTTAACATGCAATACATAATTTTCCTTCTGTCCGTATGATGTGTTCCCTCTCATTGGTTTCCATAGATGAGTGGACAGCAGAGATTACTGTGTATTCCCCACAACAGATTATCAAAGTTTATGTTGGAAGCCATTGGTATGCAACCACCCTGCAGACCCTGCTGAAGGTACTGCTAACCCCAGCTTCCCTTTTCCACTTTGACTTCCCTGCCTGAGCTGCTTTGGGACTTGTCAACTAACCTTCACACAGCCTCCAGCACCTGCTTAGAACAAGGACTTCTCCCAGCTCCACTGCCTAGAGCCCTCTTTCCTTATGGCAAGAAATGGAATGAGCAGCATGCTGGAAAGGACTCAGCAGTGTGGGTAGGGAGGAGGCTGGTCTGAGGGGCATGGCCTGAGGAGGAGGTAGGATGGTGTTCCAAATGTCTTGGAGAGGGGGGATCGCAGAGATGATGTGCATCTCCCAGGGTGTTCTGCTCCCAATTGTGCCTGTAAGACAGGGAGACAGAAATCCCAAAACATCTGCTCTAGTGTGGTCAGGGAAAATTGAGAGGTAACTGACTTATCCCTCACTAAAGACCTAGCCCTGGGGACTAACTGATTCTGCTATCTATCCCCCTCCAGTATCCAGAACTGCTGTCCAACTCTCAGAGAGTATACTGGATCACATACGGACAGACCCTACTTATCCATGGGGATGGCCAAATGTTCCGACATATTCTCAACTTCCTGAGACTTGGAAAACTCTTTTTACCATCTGAATTTAAGTAAGCAAAGCAAGTAATCAATGATGAAATCACTGAGGTTTACCCCTTCTTCAACAAAAGAAAGGTTTATAGACTTCAGTGGGGAGGTTGTTGTTATTTCTAACGTTGGCATTGTTGATCAAGGGAGCTTCTCTGAAGGCTTATGCAACTCCCACCCCAACTGCCCAGTCTGACATCTCCTTGTCGTTTGCAGGGAATGGCCTCTCTTCTGCCAGGAGGTGGAGGAATACCACATTCCATCCCTCTCAGAAGCCCTTGCACAATGTGAGGCATACAAGTAAGAAAACTTCACTCAGGATTCCATGTTTGGACTTTTATATTCCTCTTGGAAATGCTAAGTCTCAACTACTAGTGGGACCTGGTCTTTCTGGGGTGAAAGCAATAACAGGCTCAGGATTGGCCAGGGATCTAATTGGAACTCCTTTCCTCCACTGTCTATCCCTGACCAACCAGCTGATGAGCTGATGGAAGTTTTCACTCACTAACCAACCCCTCTTGGTCTTTGCAGGTCATGGACTCAGGAGAAAGAATCTGAAAATGAAGAAGCTTTTCCCATCAGGAAGCTGCACGTGGTGACAGAAGGACCAGGGTCACTTGTAGAATTCAGTAGAGATGCCAAAGAAGTAAGGCCCAATCTTACTTGGTTGGCACTCTTCTCAAAGAATGCCACCACAAGGCTGGGAGTGTGGCTCAGTGGTAAAGTGCTCACCTAACATGTGTGAGGCACTGGGTTTGATCCTCAGTACCACATAAAATTAAATAAATAAAATAAAGGTATTGTGTCCATCTACAACTAAAACATATTTTTAAAAAATGCTACAAGTCCTGGGGTAGGCTGGGGTAGGCCCAGGTACTAAAGAATACGGTAATGAAAGAGCAGGACCTACACTGGTTCCTAGTACAGAACTGATTTCTGAACCTTGAAGGAGGCACAGGGACATGCTGACCACTTGTCCCCTGAGACACCAATAATCTATCTGGTTGGAGTGAGAAGCTCCTGGGCTGGCACCACCCCCATTCAGATCAAACAAAGCTAAAATGGGTGACCCATGTCAGGGATAGGATTGTTCTGGGTGAACAGTGAAGTCGTAGAGATTCAGCTTGGGCAAGGGTTTGATGACAATGTATAACATGCCCAGAGCTACTATGTCCCTCCTTTCCCAGACCACAGCCTGCATGCCTATGGACTTCCAAGACTGCAATGACAGGACTCCATGGAACAAAGCCAAGGGGAATCTGGCCAGATCCAGTCAAATGGAAGAGCCTGAACAGTATACTCGGACTATCCAGGTCTCCCTGTGCCGAAATACCAAGAGGGCAGGCAATCCCAGTGCATACTCACACTGCTCTAGCTTATGTGCTAACCCCAGACACTGGGGAGGCCACTCTGAGAGTCCCCCCAAAAAGAAGTGTACCACAATCAACCTCACACAGAAATCTGAAACTAAAGATCCCCCTGTCACCCCCATGCAAAAGCTTATCTCCCTGGTGAGGGAATGGGACATGGTCAATTGCAAACAGTGGGAATTCCAACCAATGACAGCCTCCCGGAACAACTCCTTGGAGGAGGGTGCCCTGCATCTCCCCTCGGGAAGTGAGACTGCTTCCCAGTCCAGCACCTCCGCTACTTCGAAAGCCCATTCCATTGCGTCAGAGAAGGATTCAGGTCTACCAGCAGGGGCTGGAGCTGGAGCAAAAGACAAGGGGCCAGAGCCAACCTTTAAGCCACACTTTCCCACAAAAAGAGCTATTTCCCTGAAGGACTGGGGCAAGCAGAGACCAAAGGAGAGAGGTGAGTCCTACCACATTCTTGACCAAAGTCTCATTTACAACAGAAAAGACAAATCCTTTGGCTGAGACCACAGAGCTAGTTAGTGAAAAAGAGAGACTAGAGCCTGCCCTCCAATGCCAGCTCTGAGCCAGGCAGCAGTCACAGAAATTACTGGTATGTTAGCATAGCTTGGGGAGCTAAGAGACCATATAAGGTGAAGTGATTAGTACTGTGGAAAGGGAGAATCTAAGTAGTAGGAGCACAGGGAGCCTAGGGGGCAGGGCAGAAAGGAAAACAGTTAATTTCACATAGGACATAGTAAGTGAAATTAACTGATCCAGAGTAGTAGTTTGTGGAAAGCACAGACCTTTGGTCTAGATGGTGGACTGGCTTCTTCCTATGCAGAAGCCATGCAAATGAGGCTGAAGGCAGGTCTTGTGGGCCAAGTTCAGGATGTGGTGGTGTTCTGACCTTGAGGAGCAGGCAGCCCCTGAAGAATTTGGGAGCATGTGGTCAGGTAGGCATCTCAGAAACCTTGCCTCAGGGGTAAAGGAAGCGCAGCAGCAGGATGGGGTGTGTCAGAAGCAGAAGTTCTTTCTAGGCTGGGTGAAAGAATGAGCATACTAGGAGGTGGGCACCTACCAAGGTGGGGAGGACAAGAGAAAGTAGATCTTGTAGAAGAGCACACAAAGCATGTGGAATGCCAGGGAACACACAGGTGAAGTCGAGGAGACAAGAGGGCCTATGGATACTAGGATGCAGAGTTCACGTATGGCTGGTAGTGGGGAGGTGGCCCAGGGAAGTGTGCCGAGAACTGCCATGCCAGGCTGTTTTCTTTGCTCCTTCAAAAGATCTTCCTACAGTACTGTCACCTTACCTTCTAGTGACTCAGGCCCTGCTTGGAAGGACCTTGTTGGACTCTACCTATGAGCCCTAATTTGATCTATCAATATTCAGGCAGACAAACATCCACTCTTCCAGAGTGGGCACATATGAAAATCTTACCCATAAAGCTCTTCTCATTTTACAGTTTTATACATTCCCAGTCCTTCAATGATTATTTTATTGGCCCTATTTGATATTAGTGCTACATCAACAGAGGGATTTGGAGAGTTCCTTGGAGTTCTGAAATTCAAAATTTGGCTTGCAATGATGCCAGGGCAGTGAAGAGAAGAAAGGGTGCCATTTCTAAGAAGCTGGAGGCTTCTGGAAGGGTGGGGTTACTGGTCTATCACCAGAGGTCCCCTTTCCTTTATTGGGCTCTTAGCTTAGGGCTCTTCTTAGGCTTGAAAGCTTTTCTTTGCCCTTCTTGTTTTCACAGAAAGCCCTGCACCTGAGCAGCCTCTGCCTAATGCCAGTGGGGTAGACAACCCAGGGGTCATCCTTAAAGTGACTCACCCGCCTGTTGTGGGTAGTGATGGCTCCTGTATGTTCTTTGAGGACAGCATCATTTATACCACACAGATGGATAACCTCAGACATACGCCACTTACAGCCAGCCCCCAGCCCCGAGGTGAGACTTTGGAGTCATGCCTAGCCCTGTACTTCTTTGGAGATGCCTGAGGTACTTGAGGGAAAGTGTTCCTTAGGAACCCTATACCCGTTGGCAATCTCTAAGGTTATCTGGCTGTGGGGAGATATGATATCTACTCTTTCCTTCCTCCACAGAGGTGACTTTTCTTAGTTTCTCTCTGTCCTGGGAAGAGATGTTTTATGCACAGAAATGTCACCGATTCCTGACGGACATTATCCTGGATTCCATCAGGCAAAAGGATCCTAAAGCCATCACGGCCAAGGTGGTCTCTCTGGCCAACCGGTTGTGGGTATGTGTGTTAGGTATTAGGCTATACCTTCTCCATCTGTCCTGTCATGCTTCCCTTCAATAAGGGGTAAGGGGAAGTCAGGGCAGGGACAAGAAGGCAGGGCAGTTTCATCTGGACCTACTCTTGGCCGCAAGGTAGATATGGAGTGCCTGTCTCAGACCCTTGTGGCTCCTATAGGCCCAGGAAGCCCATACTGAGGGATTAGGAGCTTCCCATGGTCCTGCCTGACTGTGGGCTCTCCTGGCAGACTCTGCACATCAGCCCCAAGCAGTTTGTGGTGGATTTGCTGGCCATCGCTGGTTTCAAGGATGACCGGCACACTCAGGAGCGCCTGTACAGCTGGGTGGAGGTGAGCCTACCTGCACCACACTGGGAACAGCAACCCTGTGGATGCCTCATATGGGTACTGTCTTACTAGGCAGTACTGTCTAGAAGGCTAGATCAGAGGCAGCTAGACGACTGGCCTCTGGTCTCGAGAAATAGTAAGTGAAATTAACTGATCCAGAGTAGTCAGAACATTGATTTTTATAGTTTTTTCTCCCAACAACCCCAGCCACACTTGGGAAAGCATGTCCCATAAACCCAAGCTTGTGCACACAGAAGTTAGGCCTTTCCAACTTTACCTTGTAGCCAAAACATTACCATAAATGTTGGGTAAAGGAATGATTCCTTAAAATGATTTCTACATGCGAGGTGCTGGGTTTGATCCTCAGAACCACATAAAAATAAATAAAGGATAGGAAACACTTCTGACCTCAATTTTTCTCATTTGCCTGGTAGTTCCCCAAAACCCCAACCGTGAGGCTTACCCTGTCCCTATCTCCATCCACCCACTTGGACAATCAGGGGTAAGACAGACCTTTCCTTGCAGCTCACACTGCCTTTTGCCAGAAAATATGGCCGCTGCGTGGACCTGCTCATCCAGAGAGGCCTGTCTAGATCTGTCTCTTACTCTGTTTTGAGCAAGTACTTACAAGAGGGCTAGGGTGCCCAGAGACGCTGCCCTGCAGCCTCCATCCCATGCATGTGCCCATCCAAATTAGTCTATTCTTTTGTAATTAAACAAATAAAACAGTAGATCACAAGTAAAAGGTCTAGACTCCTTCTCTGAGACACAAAGGACTTCAGTGACAAAGGACTAAGGGGACCTGTGAGATAATAACAAACTCTAACTGAAAGCTATTCAAAAGGAATCACATCAAAATAACCAAACTGGCCCAAAAGCAGAGGATGGGCCTGGGGAGCCAGGGCAGGCAAGGGTGGGCCCACTAGGGTTAGGCTGGCTCCTGTGTTTGGGGAGCTCATCATTAAAGCCAGTGAGCAGCTTCACTATGTTTCTCCCAAGGGCTGGGTGCAGCCCAGTCACTGCCCAAAGCCAAATGGTACCCCCTAGAGCATGTAAATGCTTGCCCTAGCCTATTCTGAACTTAAAGTTGGGAGTAGGGACAGGAGAAGGACACATGGAGCCAGAAACCTGGGATCAAGGTTCTTTCCCAGGCTGTGCAGCCAGAGGCTCCAGGGTAGTCAGTGGCCACAGAAAACAGTGAGGTGGAACAGGCACCAGAAGATCCAGAGAAGTGATGTTTCTTGGAGATACTGGCTTCTAGATCCACTTATCACCACTGAGGTCAGACCTGTGGAGACAGGCTAGGCATGAATGCCTGCTTCCCTGGTTCTGGGTCCAGGGGTCCCTTGGGAATCGTTATGGCCCACCCACCCCCAGGAAGTAAAAGCTGGGTTGGGGAGGCTGATAGAATAAGGCAAGATGCCACTCACATAGGACAAGTCCTCAAGGACCCTCCCCAAGACCTGCCCTGACACACAGCTGCTGTCAGAGCCACTGGAGCCACTGGCTGATGGGCACTGGGATGAGACTTCAGAGTCCTCAGGAGCTAGGGAAGGAGACTGGGTGAGTTGTCAGCAGGAGAGGCCCAGACCATAGCCTGCCTCTGGCTAACCCCAGACATACTCAAAGAGGGCTGGCTGCCCAGTTCTGCCTCAGCTTCCAATGCTGCTTCCTCTGGGAAGTTGGGAGGATACAGGGGCCAGCGGACACCCAGAAGAGCCGGGTCTCTGTACAGGTGCAAGTTGAGGGACTCCAGAACAGAGCAAGAGGCAGGGTCTCCAGGAAGGGAGCTTGAGGACCCCCGGTAGGGGCTGTCATAGTCAAATGGGGCCACAGCAATAGAAGCCCGAGAGCGAACTTCTGCATAAGAGAGGATCAGGTTGGGACAGGTCAGAAGTCAGGGCTGACAGTAGTCCACAATGTTCTCTGCACAGCTTTTATCAGCCCTACCCGCAAAGTCTGCGTGCTACCTCGGCACTTTAGGACACAGTTGATATTGCGGTCGTTGATAGCTTCCTCACTGGGTGCGATGTCCCGGAAGGCCTTGTTCCCCACACCCATGGACACCATCTCAGCCAAACGAATCTCTGAGTAGAGTAATCACAAGTGAGGCCCCACTGGGCTCTATCTGATAAGTTTTTCCTCTTCACCCATATCCCACGGATTAACCATCCTGTACACTGAGTCTTTCTGGTACCAAATTCTTTCCTCCCAGTGGGGCAGGTATCATAATTCCCATAATAGAGAACCTTGACACTCAAAGGTTAATACTGTGTCCAAAGTCACAGACACTGACTTTGAGGTTGTTTCCCTTACACTGGTTGCTGCTGATGGGCTACCTCCCCTTCCCAAATTTCTAGGTCCCTTGATCCTCCCTGGGCTCCTGGGGTACCCATACTCTGGGGAGGGGAGCATGGAATGAACTAAGGGGCAGAGACCCACCCTTGTTATGGACAGCCTGCCTCCAGAGCAGGCAGGAGATGTCAGCTGTCCAGGCCTGCTTGGTGGCCAAGCTAGAGGCCTGTAGCACAAAGGTGTCCCTGGCCTTGCGACGACGGAACCAGATCTCAAAGCGCAGTTTGCTATCCCCACAGGACTCAGTGAGGCCAAGGTCTGCCATCTGTGTAGCAAGGCGTGGGGAGCTTGGTGAGGCATAAGCCAGGGGAAGGGGAAGGGGCAGGGGTCAGGGGCAGGTGGGCCCACCTTGAAGGAACGCTTATAGGTAAATGTGTCAACACCCGCAGGCCCACGGCGAGGTTTGCTGAAGAGTAGCAATTCCTCAAAGAGGAAAACACGACGAAGGGACTTGTGACGCCCACTGCGCACTGTGAACTCATCTTGTCGCACTAGCTGCCCCTGCTCCTTGAGGTTAACCTGCAAAATCAGGGCCTGGTGGGTACCCAGGGCATACCTCTCCTTCCATACCCAGGGCACCTGAACATTATAGCCCAAGATGACTCACATCACAGCCCTGGATGGCATCCATGGCTAGCAGGTCATTGCCATGTCGTAGCTGGAAGTGTACAAGGCTCTGGGCCTCCTGAAGGGCATTCAGCTCTTGTGCAGGTCCCCCACAGGCACGTGCCAACTCCTGCAATAGCAGTGCATACTTGCTCATGCGCTGGATGGGCTTTAGCAGGTAGGAGGCCAAGTCCAGATGATCTCCCAGTGCTTGCTGCTTGTCCTGCAAGGTGGGTGGGAGACCACTGAGTGGTTTCAAGGTACACCACCCTCTATCCTACTCCTCCCAGTTTCAGGGTCTCCTACCTTGAAGAAAGCGTGACCATAGCTGGTCATCAGGGCATCAGAGCGAGGTTTATTCTTGCTGTAGAGTGCATACATCCCAAACTGCACCCTCTATAAGGACATGCCACTCAGCACAGTTATAAAAAGCCCAGCTCCCAAAGGCTGCCCCCACCCCAGAGAAATCATTTTCTCAATTCAAGAGAACTAAAATGCCAACACCCCTCACTGGGCCTTCCCCTACAGCCTGCTTTGAATGAGGGGTGATCTGGTAGGAATAGGTTCCATGCAGAAGGGGCTTTTCAGGCCCTGTGGGGAGGAAACCCCATTTCCTCAGACTAAATCTCTATGTTCAGCTCTGCCCCTCCCATAGCTCTAAGAATCTCTCTGGTCTCACCTCACCTTGAACTCATTCTCTTGCTAACTACATTTAGTTATGCTCATTCTGACCAGGCCTCTTTCCTGCCACAGCCCTTGCACTTGCTCTTTCCTGGGGTGGAACTCTCTCCCTGTCTGGCCTCAGCTCAAATATCTGCAGCTCAAAAGGTACATCTCACTGCTCTCTCTAAAGTGAGAACCCTGTCCCAATAGTAACATGCATTTGTCCTGTTTATTTTCCTCCCAATCCCAGCTATGATCTGGAATTACCTTTTTCATTTGTAAGGTTCTCCTCCTGAACTAAAAACACCCTGATATGCAGAGAACTTATGGGTCTCACTCACAGATGTTCCTAGAAAAGAGCCTAACAGCTCTTTGGAGTGTGACAGAATCAGCTGGGGCCATATGGCCTGTGGGGCTTACGTGGCGTAGGAAGGCATAGGCCACTCGGGGTGGGTGCCGGGTGCAAGCCTCCAGCTCACGCAAGAAGAAATGGCAATGGAAGTCCCGCAGCTTCTCCAGGTTACCAAAAAGGTGAGCTCGCTGGCCACGGAGACCTTGTGGCACATCGGGGCGATCCAGCTCAGGGAAATAGTTCTCCATGGTGTAGTCAAGGGCCCGGACATACTCTCGCTCAGTGGCCACCATCTCTGCCAACACCAACTGTGGCCTACCAGGAAGAATGAATAGGAACCCTTGAGTTCTCCAAGGATCTACCCTCCACTGCCCTCCCTCTCCTGCCCACTGCCTGTACCTATTGGGGCTCTTGAGGTCTTTGCCTGGTAGAGGCAAAGTAGAGTATGACCTGGGACGGGTACCTCCTCCAGCCTCTGGTTTGTGGCAGGCAGTGACAATGGCAGCATGATGGAAGTGGTGGGCAGACTCTTTGAGACTCTGCCCCAGATTCTGATCAAAGCTGTAGGCCTTCCTCAAGGGAGGAGTAGCAGGTACTGCAGGAACCTGGCTGACACGCAGGCTAGCTGTGCTGCCTGTCAGTGGTGGCTTCAGTGCAGCCTCTAGCTTCTGGTCTAGGGCCAACCAGGTATCCTGACACTGTGCCCAGGCCCAGCGGCATTCCTGGCGGATGCGCTCTGAACCCAGCCCCGTGGCCAGAGCCCACATTTTTCGGAAGTGCGCAGGAGGCAAGTCAGGGTGCTGGGTCCAGTGCAGCTGTAGCCGCTGTAGCACAACCCCTGGGTGCTCCTGCTCCAGCTCTGCCAGTACTCGCTGCCCATCCTCAGCCCATGTTGAGGCCTGCAACACCAAGACCAGATGGGCATGAAAGGGGAACCCCAGCAAGTTTTCTGTTCCTCTACTGATCCACCCTTCAGAAGGCTAGCCCCACACCAAGTCCCAAGTGGTTGGATTTCAGGGTCAGATTAAAGACAAGGGAAGAAAACAGGATGAACAGAAAGCACTCAGGCTGAGGTGAAGCTGCAGCAGCTATTTTTGGTCCCTCTGAGCATAAAGCCAGAGACAGGACCTCTCACCCACCTGCTTGAAGAACTGAAACAGTCTCTCAGCATCTGCCAGCCTCTGGCGCCGCTGGGCTAAAGCCCTAGAGAATTCTATCAGCTGGGCTCGCAGGGTCAGAAAGCGCACCCCAGGGGGACCCAGTTCAGCTGCCTCCCAGCCAGCCAGTGGCTGTAGAAACTTCTCCCCTCTCCTGACCTGCTCCTGGACAAAAAGAATGGGCTCAGCTGGCCCAAATCTGATGGTCCAGTCCTGAACCCAGATCATTTCCACTGACATTTACATGTCTTTAAATCTCTTGAGGTAGAAGGCCTTCCTCCACCCACCCCCAGTATCCACTTTCCCACTCTCTCAAGCCTTCCAAATACAGCTCTCAGCAGCATTCAGCCCTCTCTCTCCTGGACTCCAATTCCTCCCTCTCTCCTGACTCTCCTTGTGCTTATCAGTGGTTCTTCCTCCTTCTCCCTTTCTCTCATCTAGGCTCCTGAAGATAGTGTGCTCTGTCCCCTAGACAATCCGGTGTGACCACACACTACACCCACCAAGTGACCCTCTCCAGGCAGACCTCTCATTTGAGCTTCAGACACAATGCCTAAGGGCCTTACTATCATTCACTCATAGCCATCTCAAAAGCATGAATTGCCACTTCACTGTATTTTCCATTTCCATCCTCCAAATCACTACCTAGAAACTTAGATCTTCTTCCTAGAATACAGTTTTGATTATACTTTCTTTCTTAAACGTATCACTGTGACAGGATCTGGCCAATGACTGATCTTCCAGCCTCATCTCATTCTGCTCTCCCTCTTCTGCTCCACATTCCAACCTCATTGGTCTTATGGCTCCTCAAGCACATCATATTCTCCCAGCCTAGAAGTTCCTCTATCCCTAACCCTCTTTGGCCTGATTGACCCCAACTTACCCTTCAGCTCTCAGCTCAAAAATCACCCTAAGAAAGCTTGCCCAACAACACTGAGAGGTCAGATCTTTGTTACATACTCAAGTAGAATTTTAGTCTCAGTTTTGCACACACATATTTGTCTGCAAACTTTTGATTATAACTGACATACTCTGATGGACAGTATATACCAGGAGAGCAAGGGATTGACTTATTTCCATTTACTTCTGCAATTCTAGTCACTGGCAAAGTAACCTATACCCACAGAAGTGAACAAGTGACTAAATATACCTGGGCAACCTGGTCCAGCTCCCGGAAAGGGCCTACAGCCTGAAGCAGCATGTCCAGTGAGGGCTCCCCTGACTCCTCCAGTGCTGGCCAGCCAACCTGCTGTAGCCATACTTCAATCTGGATAAGCACAAGCAGGAAGAGGCAAGAAGAGCTGCTTTTGTATAGAGCTGGGGACTGTGTGCATTGGGTTCACACTTAAGACCAGGGGTGGGGTCCACTTTGGTCAAAGAGTTCCCACCTGGTGCAGCCTGCCCTCCTGGGTCTCCAGTGTTTGGAGCAGCTCTAGTGCCTGCACTCGCTGGTTGCTCTGCAGGGTCAGCTGATGCAGCAGTCCATCTACACGGCCATATAGTTCATTAGCCTTGTCTACTGCTGGCCTAGTACAGAGTACACAGTAAGACCATGCACCTTACTGGTCCCCTTGCTCCGTTCTACCTTGTACTGAGACCTTAATCCCACTAATCCTGAGTCTTTGACATGGATATGGTGGGCTGTGCTGGGATAAGATCTGGAAGCTGGGCTCATACTTACCTGTAGTCTGGGCTCAGAGTCACCTCTCGGACCTCCTGCTTCAGCCATGCTAGTTCTAAGCTCCCCTGGCATTGTAGCCATGCCAGCTGTGGTGAGTCCAGCACCTGCTGCATCAGGACCTGTGCCTGCTGTAGCACCTGACCAACTTCCTGTGATTGAGGGCAACAGGTGGTGGTGACATGGGAGAGGAGGGAGTCAGAACATTCAAGGAGGTATCACGAGGGGACACCTACCCCAAACTCCATAGGCTGAGGTACAGCCTTCACATTCTTGATGGCCCCCTGGAGCAGGGCACAAACCGCCTGGCAGCTCTGCAGGAGGGCTTCTAGTCGCTGTGATCAGGAGCAAGAATAACCAGAATGCAGTGCTGATCCCAGGCTTCCTGAATTTCAGGCCACTGCAGCCAGCTTTGTCCTACTGTAGCCAACCCAGGACAGATTCCTCCACAGGTTCAGGTTACCTAAATAACCACACCCACCCACCTACCCAGAGCACTGACCATTCGGAAATCCAGCCAAGTCTGGTGGCAGTAAGGCAGGCATCCTCCTAATGAAGTAGGCAACCCTGCAGTAGGGATGTGGGTCAACAGGCTCTGATGAGAGGGAAGCTGCTCCAGCTATAGGAGAAGAATGTGTTGTGATCTAAGCTGGTGTAGAAGACCCCACCTCCAACCCCCAGCCAACCTGGCTCAGTACCTGAAGCCCTGAAGGTACCTCCTCAGGCATTTTTCCCATTAGCAGCACCTGGTGCACTGACCCCGGAGCTGCTTCCTGCAAGGAATCAGAGCTCAGCCCTGTACCCAGATCTACACAATAGGAATGGAGGGGAGATGCAATTCTGTACTCACTTGTAGTTGGCATAGCCCCCACAAGAGGGAAGAGCTTGGGGAACAAATCCGGGCATCAACTAGTATGGTAAGTCCCAAGGCCTGGACTTCAGGCCTAAAGGGATATGTTTCAATTTAGTATCTGATTCCCAGGTCCTGACATCTCCCAGCTCAAGCCCAGTCCCCCAACCATCTCCCCCAAACCTGGGGATGCCTCGCAAGTAGAGTAGGAGGCAGATGAGTTCATGGCTGCTGCACTTGGGGTGAAGCCAGGCTGGGCTGTGGGCACACAGCAGTAGCACAGCTCGGCCTTCTACATCACGAGTTCCTGTCGGGGAGGTGGCATTGAACATTCATCCAATTAGGCCACCCCACCTCCACTGCCTCTAGGCCCTCTTAGCTACCTGGCAAGGCAGCCATGCCACTGGCCAGCAGTTCCCAGGTGAGGTTTTGGGCCAGGAGGCAGTCGGCAGACTTGGGAAGGCTGGATCTCCTAGAGTCTTGGAAGAGAAATGGCTTGGGTCTCCATGGAGCCACCTACTTAAAGACCCCTCTACAGATCAGGGCTTCAGCCTGAGTAGGGTCAGAGACCTTCCCAAATTTTAATACCCACCTCTAGGTATCCCCATTCCCTTCCCAGACTTCCCTAGCTCAGCCTCCCTTACCTGTCACCATCGGTTTTGATGATGTGTCTGATAAAGGGTCTCCAAGATCCACAGGGCTGCTGTCCAACCCCCCAGGGCCTAAGACTGCTGGCAATGCCACTCCTGGACCTGGGTCCCCTACCAAACCTCCCCTTGGGTTGTCACTTTCACCCTGTGCCAGGCTGAGGTGGGAGGACATGGGGCACAAGAGGCTCTCCACTCCAGAGGGGAATGGCTCCTCTGACTGGACCGAGGAGCCTCCTAATGTGCTCTTCTGGCCATCCCCCGACCCATCTATAGCCTGTAGTTCTGAAGGCAATTGTAGGTCCCTGGACAAGGGGCTGCCCAAAAGCCCTCCGCCCTGGGCAGGTGGTCGTGGAGGACTAGGGTCCTTAATCTGGGAAGCAGAGTCCTCCTCCTCCCAGGCATCCCTGAAACTGCATACAGCAAACCTCCAGTCGGTGGCGTGCCCCTGGGAGTCTGGGGACTCATCCCCACCCTCCAGGGACCTTTCCATCACCCCCTACTAAGGGTGGTCCTGCTCAGGGCAAGTGGGCAGGGGCTACGACTCGTGTGAAAAGAGGCCTAGGCTCATCCAGGAACTGTGTTGAAGATGGTCCCACAGGGTCCACGAGCAACGCAGGCAGAGCGCACTAGGCCAAAGGAGGTGCCAAAGGAGGTGCCAGGAGCAATGCCAGGCAGAGCGCACTAGGCCAAAGGAGGTGCCCAGACACAGGAAGTGCTGCTGCTACTGTATAGTTGAAGGCCTGGGGAAAGGGAAAGAAAGTCAGGGGTCTCCTTCCTGACCAGGGCCCTAGTCGTGCTCCCATGAGCCTTTGCCTGGTAGGTCCCACCCAACTCCACCCTCGGACTTCGCCTCACACCAGGCTTTGCAGGACTACCCGTGAGGCTGCCTCGTGCTTATGCTCCCCACCAGCCCAACTCGGGAGACTGGCGCGCGACTCCGTCGTCCGCCACCTACACTCACGTTCCTGGGAGCGCCGCTGGGAACCGCGAAGCCCGGGAGCCGCGCAGCCGAGCCTTCGAACACCCCTGAGCCTCGACGGCGGGAACAGCCTGGCCGCCCGGCGTGCAATGGCGCCGCCTCCTGGCGGCGGGGATGGAAAGTAGGGCCACTGGAGACGCAGCGCCGCGCCGCCCCCTGGGGGCCGGAGGACGAAGCCACAGCCCACCCTGCAGGTCCCGACGGCAAACCGCCGGGCGGCGGGAAAGCGCGGAGGCGTGGGCCCGCACAGCGCCCCTTACCCACGGGTCTGACGGCGCTCCCGGACTTGAGTGCCCCGCCCCCGGCGTCTCAGTGCGCGAGTCGAGGCGGCGTCCAACGGCCGTTCCACCGAGCCCACCGAGCTGCCTGCCGACGCGCCGGAAGCGTGAGTGAGCGGCGCCCCGCTGGGGGCTGGGGAGGGGGCTTGCGGGTCGGCTGCCCCAGCTCGCGCCTGGGGGAAGTCCTTGGGTGTAGCGGAGGGGACGCCGCCTTGCAAGCCAGCAGGGTCCTAGAAGACCTTCCCAGCTCCCCTAGCAAATCTGGTCCAAAGAAGACAAATGTGAATTCGGGTTTCCGAGAGGCTCCTAGGAAGAGACTCCCTAACCCCACAGCAGCTACTGGAAGCCAGTAGAGATATCTTCGAGGAGGCTGGGAGTGTGGGGCCCCTCCACCTAAGACCCCTTCTGCCTTCAAGTGCCCAGGTCCACACACCGAGAGAGAGTGTGTGTGGGCTGCCGGTGTAGTTCTGTGATGGAGGGCTTGCGTGGCATGTGGGAGGCCCTGAGTTTCATCCTCAGTACCGTAAAAACAACAACAAAAAATTTGTCATTGAGATAAAGAGGTTGTGGTATCCTGCAACAGGATGGAATACCCCTCTGTCTGGGCTGCAAGGTGGAGGAGACAGAGCAGCCTCTGGAGTGGGAGCTGACCCAGGCCTGCCAGAATGCATCAGGCCCACAGACCCTCCACCCTCTTGCTTCCTTGGCACCTCTTTTTAACCCTTTCCCATAAAAGTCCAGCTAAGGAGGCTGGTGCTGATGTTTGGGTCCTGGACCTGGACCTAGCCCGGACCTGGCTTCTCCACTCACCTTTGGGAGGAGCTCCAGGGACTCTCTTCTCTTTGTGCCTGACCTGTGAAACAAGAAAGTTACTCTTTTGTCCTGGGATTTCCAGAAGGACTAGGAAGGACCCAATAAGTCAAATACTGCTTTCTGGGGCTACATTTGTGCCCTGCTCCACCCCCTCATTACACCCTTAGGGAATACTGAACTGATGAAAGACACTTGAGATTTCCCAGCTCTGAGGCTTGGGTCCCTTTGGGGCTTGTGAGCCTGGCCTGACAGTTTCCTCAAAATTTGTGTGAAGATTGTTGGGAGGGCAACTGTGTGGCCAGAAAAGGCAGCAAACCCCACAGCATGACCAGGCCCTGTTAGCATACCCAGGCCCTTGATCCCTGAGAGGAGAGGGCAGTGAACATAATGCCTTCCCTGGCCCTAAGGCAGATGCCTCCTTCATGAACCTGGACATCAGCAGCAGGCACAGTGGGAAACACAGAATCCTCCCCACACCCATTCAGCACCCAGAGTTCAGACTCCCAGGCAGATACCAAGCAAGGAGCAGGGCTGGCCTTGGAGTTGTTCTGCTCTATCCACAGTCCCCAGTCAGATCTCTTTTCCCTCCCTCCTCTAGCTTCAGTGAACATTGGGTCCAACTTTGGCTCCCTCCCTAGCTCTGTTCCAAGGCCGCTCCCACTGAGTCACTGCCTCCTGCTCCCCCTTTCTCCCTCTACTGCCCACTCCCACCCAATAGCACCTCAGGATCCCTAATAACTGGGATGACCTGCTGGCAGGCACACATACCTTCCCAGTGCCAGAGGCAAAGAAGAGGCCCAAGCCACAGGCCCTAGCTGACCCTGGCACTCTGGGCATAGCAATCAGTAAGGGGGATAAAGACATGCTGAGAAAGAGGCAGGGCTAGCCCCTGGTTTCCCCATTCCACATAGAATGTGCATTGTAAGCAGTCTGTATGTTGTCCTCTTCTGTATTTTCATTATCCAGCACTGGGCCTGGCACAGAACAAATGTCTAGGGGTATCTGAGACTGGTCACATTGCCCCTGCCCTCCTGAGGCTCCTATCTGTGAGTTGCATGGAAACCAATCACAGATGGAGATTCAGAGGCTCAGTCTGAAAGGGAAACAGAGAAGAAGCAGAGAGCTGCAGGATGCACAACCCTGGATAGCAAAGGTACAGAGATGGTAGAGAAACAGGGACAGACTGAGGCCTAGTGGGGAACATTGAGGGGCTGGGCCTGGAGCCAGCCTGGGGCGGCTGACCACAGCAGGCTCTGTGGGCTGAGCTTGCAGGACTGAGCAGTGACTCATGGAGCCCATCTCTGTGGCTCCACTGGCAGAAGAATCTAGTCACACCAGCCTTTTCCACTGAGATCATAAAATGTGGATGGGCTTCCCTCCTTGCCCCTTCCGCAACCCTCCCTCAGCTTTTCCATTCCTTGCCAACATGGGTCAGTCAGAAATAAAATGTGAGCTCTGGGCCTCAGTGGGCTTAATAATAAGAGACTCATAGTCATTTCCCTTGCTCCACCTTGCATACCCTTCTTCAGCACTGCCCCAAATAGTAATGGCAGCTAATACCCCAAACCTTCTAGACATCCCTAACCTTTGGCGTAAATAAACTCCAAACTCCATTCGGTGTGGAATTCAAGGCCATCCAGAGGCATCATAGCCTTTCTTCCCAGCACCCAGATTGGCCTGGGAAACATCTGATTACAAATGTTGTCTCATACTGTCTCCTTTACTTACAAGGCCCTCTCCCATCTCCCCTGATCAAAATGCTTCCTCCTTCAAGGCCTAAGTAAAGCACCTTCTCCCAGAAGTCCTACCTAGCTGGTGCCAGCCCAGTCAGGCTTGGCACCCAATGAATGAGCTTGTGACTTGCTCCCTTTCCTACGTAGCAGACATTTGCCCACCTCCCCAACCCCCAAAATTTGCTTACCTGTTTTCTGGACCTTCATAGACCAGCTGAATCAGAACTTTGGGGTAGGCCCAGGAACCTGCTTCCCAGTGATCCTGACATTATAGTCTGGGAACAGCTACCAGTACCAGCCTCTTTACATCCCTTGGACTTCTGGAGCAGTCTCACAAAAGGTCTTCCATCTCTGGCCTTTCTTTCTACTAATCCACCCTCCATCTTGGCTTCCACACAACTCCCACCTGGTACCAGCCCCAAACATACACATATACTCCGTCTCCTCTAAGAAGCCTGTACATATCTGCTCAAGGACCCATAGCACTTTCCACATACCTTTGCCTTGCAGTATAAGATGGATGATGACAAATGCTTATGATCCCTTACCATGGGCCAGGCCTGGAACAGATTCTTCCCTATTTTATCATTTAGTCCTGGCAGCAACCTTCTGAAGTATGATTTTATTCCATTTTAGAGATGAGGAAACTGAGGCTTAGAGAGATTTTGTAACATGCCCAAGATGACATAGCTGGTGAGAAACAGCTGGGACTGATTGTTAACTATTAGTTAACTACAAGGCCTTGTCATTGTTAGTAGTAAACAACTTGAAGGCAAAGCAAAGTTGCCCTTCCTTCTCCTCATGTTTTCCCCATGCACAGTGCAGAAAAAGTAAATGTTAGTTTACTGATTTTTTAACCTTTTTGGTACACTGAGTCCTGCAGCTAGTCCTGGGCTAGTAATTACCTAGGGCTATAGAGGTTGGGGTGTGAGGAATAATACATGGGTTCAGGGCTTCTTTGGGGGATGATGAAAGTGTTCTATACTTACATTGTGGTGAGGGTTGCACAGTTCTATGAATATATTAAAAACTCTGAACTGTACATTTTATATAGGTGAATTTTTATGGCATGTGCATTTAATCTCAATAAAGATACTTAAAAAAATCCTTCTGACACAGTGGGAATTAGATTAGGGAGTGTTGTTATCTAGGGTTTTCTGGACGCACGCTAATCTGATTTGTATCATAAACATGCACAGTAACCATCTTGAGATTGCCTTCTCACTTGCCATGTATAAAAGGACACTTCTGTTCATTTGTCCCACATCTGCCTCTAGGTTTTCCAGAAATGCTTCTGTTGTCCCCAGGTGTGGCTGCTGCATTTTGGGACACTTGGCCCCTGACCTCTGGGGTGTCTCTTCCTGCTAGTCTTTCCTATTTTGTAGATTCCCAGTTCTGCAACCCCAAGCACATACAGTGTTCCCCTAGAATGCCACTCCAGCCCCCTGCTAGAAGCAGACAATGTTAGAAAAGTATGAGAGAGGTATGGGGAAGACCAGCAGAACTAAGAGTCCTACCTAGGATCCCCCTCCATTCTCTACCCCAGAATCCCTGGACAGGCAAACCCCCACTGTCCCTACCCCTAGAATCCCCAGACACATGGAGAGAAGACACCATCCATCTGAGAGATTTTTAATATATCTTGGGTCTAAGGTACAAAACACAAGGCAGGGGCTAACCTCAGGAAAGCCATTTGTCACTCAGCCCCTGCTATCACTGCAGCTAGGCATCTCAGCCCCTGGAGCAATGGAGCAGTAGCCCTGGGATACCTGGTTCCTTCTCTGAGGAATGTTGAGATGGTGACATGGGAGCCCAGAGGCTACTGTGTCCCCTCCTCAGAAAACCCAGATTCAAGCATCAGAGAGTCCCAGATTTGGGCCCATAGTATCAGATCCCCAGTGGGACTCTGGCTAAGAAGCAGTTTTAACTGA